GTTTTGGTTGTCAGCAGCAAACTGGTTGATCCACTCTGAGAAGGTGCTATTTAAGAGATTGAGCTGAAAACAGCACCTCAGACTGAAGAAGTCTCTCGGACGAGAGACGAAACGTTTCTACATTTTTTGTTGTTTTGCTTTGTTTTGGGTTTTTTTGAATGTCCAGAGGACCAGATGGAACTTTTTTAGATAAGGCCTGGATAGCTTCAAATTTCTTAAGTTTTAACGATGAGAAGATTGAAGTCATTGTCTTTAGCCCTAGCTCAACTGCCGCCACTGATCCTGTCAACCTGGACTCTCTTCAGCCATATCTTAAGCTGTCTGGTAAAAATCTCGGGATGGTTTTAGACTTTGACTTCAAGTTTGACAAACAAATCAACTCTGTTCTGCAGAAAAGCTTCTTCCAACTAAGACAGGTGTCTAAGCTCAAGCCAGTATTGTCCAGACCCGACCTTGAGAAACTAGTCCATGCCTTTGTCACGACTTGATTGGACTATTGCAATGCACTCTATGCTGGGGTCAGCAAGGCCTCCATTTCACATCTTCAGCTCGTCCAGAATGCTGCTGCTCGGCTTTTAACCGGAACTCGTAGGTTTGAACATATTACACCAGTTCTGTCCTCCCTTCACTGGCTCCCTGTTCGTACTAGGATCGTCTTTAAAATTTTTCTGTTGACTTTCAAATGCTTAAATGGCCTCGCACCACTTTACCTCTCTGAGCTACTGGAACCTTACATTCCCTCTCGGGCCCTGAGATCATCCGATCAGCTGTTTTTGGCTGTTCCAAAAACAAGACTGAAGCTCAGAGGAGATCAGGCTTTTTCAGTCATGGGCCCCAAACTCTGGAACAACCTACCCCCCAACATTAGGCGGGCCACCTCCCTTCCTCACTTCAAATCCCTGCTAAAAACACATCTGTTCTCGCAGGCATTTCACACAGTGTAAATTGATTTAGTGTTTTTTGTTCTGTGATCCTATGTTTTAAATGCTTTTATTAAATTTTCAGTTATTATTATTATTAGTGTATTGTACTTTTTTTCCTTTAATTTTACTCCCATTGATTGATTGTTGTTGTTAAGCACTTTGGTAACAGGTTCTGTTTTAAATGTGCTCTATAAATAAAGTTGACTTGACTTTTGGCCTGGCTGTCTTTATTTATTTTAATGAGTTTTTAATGCACATAGTTACAGCACATGATAACAAATAAATAAAAGTAACTTTAAAAAGAGGAACCTTATTCCTGTTTTTGTATAGTTACACCTGACTGAGAAAATAATATGAAAGACAACAACTTAAAAGAGATGAGGAGAAACAATAAATTTATGCAGAGAACAACAATATGAGCTCTAAAGCCACCGTTTCATAGAGAAAACTCACAAAGTTACTGTTCACCCAGAAGCAAATTTTCAGTTGCAGTCTCCGACTCTTCTGAGTTAAAAGTTAGTTTGTTTTCTTCTTCTTCGTTTGGCTGCTCCCTTCTTCAGGGGTCGCCACAACGAACTAAGCTGCACGAAGACTTGACAATTGTTTTTACGCTGAATGTCCTTCCTGATGCAAATACAAACAACCGAGCTACTACAGCCCTCTATGTGGAGCAGAGAGCTGCTATCTAGGACACCCGGGGAAGCAAATGGTGGGGGTTAAGGGCCTTGCTCAAGGGACCAGAGTGGGGCAAATGAGGGTGGAGGCAGGTGTGGGTGTTTCACCTATCTCACACACATTTTGATGTTGTTGGTCCGTGGAATTGAGCCGGTAATCTTTCTATCATAAACCCACCTTCTCTAACCTCTGCGCCTCCCATCTCCCAACACCATCTCCTCTGTGGTCCACACTGCTCTCACCCATCTAGAGCAGAAGGACTTCTACATCCGTATGAGTACTTCATGTCTGCCTTCAACACCACGATCCCCCAAACCCTGATGGACAACCTACTCACACTAGGACTAAGCCCCTCCATTTGCAACTTGGTAACAAACAGACCTCAGTCTGTGAGGATCCAGAACTTCTCCTCCTCCACCACAACCCTCAGCACGGGCTCCTGTCAGGGCTGTGTGTTGAGCCCCCTCCTGTTTGTTCACTCGGCTCACATACGATTGTGCACCTACCCATCCAGGTCGTCATATTGTAAAGTTTGCAAATGATACAGTGGTGGTGGGATGCATCACAATCAACCATGAGTCCAGCTACAGGCAGGAGGTGGAATACCTGGAGAGCTGGTTCAGGAAGAACAACCTTCACATCAATGTGAAGAAGATGAAGGAGATGGTTGTGGACTTCCAACGGAAAAGACACACCTAGACTGAGGAACAGCTTCTACCCTGAAGCTGTCAGACTCATGAATCCCTAACCAGAAAAATCAATGGAATGCCACTTTAATTGGAGATATGTGACTTATCCGTGCTGCTGATTATCCATGCTGCTGATCTCATTCTGCTGCTGATCTCATGCTGCTGTATTCATTCATACCCATCTACTCCCCACAGACTCATGTTCGGCTGCTGCTGATACGCCGTATTGTTATACATTACAGTAGTCCCTCGTTTATTGCGGGGGATCCGTACCATGAAGCCCCGTGATAAGTGAAAAACCGCAAGAGCACAGAATGTCATAATTTCAGCTCTCTGTCTCGGCTGCTCTTTGCCACCTGCAAGCGCTCTTGGCTACGCCCACTTCTCCACTCTGCACGGAGAACAGCTGATCAGCTGAAGGAGGAAGCTTCTCCTGCAGTATCGGCTGCACAAAGATGCAGCAGGTGCTAAATAATTTTAAATAATTTATTTTAAATTAAAATTCCATGCCATGCAGTTCATCCATCAATCAGCCAATTGTGTCATGTCCAATCTTACTTTGAAAAACTGCGATACAGCGAGTCCGCAAAAAGTGAAGCGCGAAGTAACGAGGGATTACTTGTTAGTGTCTAGCGGAGGCCAGGGCTATTCACTAAAACTGCTCAGAGGGCCACAGTTTCTGAAAGCCAACAGCTCGGAGGCCGGACATCCAGCAATTAAAATCATTATGTTTTGTATTTGTAATTATTTTTTCTATTCTTGATGTGTTTTTGTCTTTCAGGTACACCTGGACCTTTATCTGGACCTACCATTCTGTGTTCGTTTGCCTCTCCTTCCTGTCCTCTCAAACCAGCCAGTCAAAGCAGATTGCCGCTTGTCCTGAGCCTGGTTCTGCTGGAGGTTTCTTCCTTTTAAAAGGCAGTCTCTCCTTTCCACTGTTGCCACTGTGCTGCTCAGGATGGGAGACTGTGATTAAGTGAAGATTCAACGAGTCTGCTGATAGAGAACTTTCCTAATGGGCTTTTTTATGTATGTGAAAGTTTCTGTTCAGTGCCCTGAGACAACTTTGTTGTGATTTGGCGCTATAAAATAAACTGAACTGAATTGAAATTATGTAAATAATGATCTGTTACCTTTTAAATTTTTTTTTTTTTTATTGCATTGAATCATAAGTGCAATAAACAGACCCAAA